TCGGTCAGTTTCTCTGGCTATGATGGCAGAAACCATTATGCTACATGTATCATCTTGAAAGTGGCCATACCCTTTTACCAGTTAAGGCCTGTTTACACTTGCGATTTTTTCAGTGTGATTTTGATTCTCGTGCGATATTCGCCACTTTGCTATCGCAACTAAAATCGTACGTTTAAACAGCCCTGCGATAGTTGCAGCGATGGAAAATCGCCGCGTACTACTACTAGTAGTTGCTGGCAATTTTCAAACATGTTCGAAACTCAGGCGATGGTCGCGCGACGATCGCCTCGAGAATCGCTCTGCAAAAATCGCAAGTGTAATAGTCTTCTTCACGGTTACCTGGGCCATCTTGAAAGGCCGTTGAGCGTGCGATGATAGATACCTGTGAATAATTGCCTGTAGGTGTGAAAGAAGGTTTCTATCATTGCATGCTCAACGGTTGTCTCGCTTCGATGCAAACGTACGGCTACCTTTCAAGATGGCGCAGGTAACCGTGAAGGAGACTATTGGGCTTTTAAGTTCCATTGACTGGTATTTTTGATTAATGTTTACCCTAAGTGCTCATGTATAAATAAGGGAAACACTGCAAAAGTCATTGTCTGGTTAAGATGCAAAGCCATATATATTATACCTCTCAATTGGAATAGTAAAGTCGAGACATTGAAAATCAAAAGAGGCTGGTTGTAGAAAGGGTGAATAGCGCTATCCACCAAGTATATTCTAAACATTTATGGAGTGGATAACTATATTCACCCTTTATACAAACAGAGCCAGTACTATACGTCACAGTTGTTTAACAATTGATAAAAAAATATGTGCAGTTTTCTTCATAATATAGCTTAAGCATGACGTTCACGGCATACGTCAAATGGCAGAAAATATCACGCAACCTGCTTTTTGGGGGTTTACCGTTACAGTTTCGACGCGAGAGTGGGTTATTTTAGGTCTGCCATAATCGTGAAAAGTCGCTCTTTCCAATGACTACCTAAGGTCAGGCACGAAATTCTTAGGTCATTAGTTCAGCTCTGCCGTTAGCCGTTTGCCATAAACGTGATGCTTAAACGCCCTATGCAACTAAAAAACCTCCAGCTACTTTTGCTAGCGAGCAAGCTGAGAAACCTGACCTGTGGAACTAAAGTAGAATGTGAGATTTAAAATAATTGTGTCATTATAGATACGCTGGGTGTATTAGCAAGAACTGTTGGACCTCAAACCTTTCTTCCTTTAGCTCAGGAATGTGTAAGACTTGGATTGGTATGTGTTATCTACCATGCTTTGCAGTTAGTATATGAAAAGGCCAAACGTTTTGATGCTAATGTTTTGATAAAGAAACATAAAACGTTTTTTTCCTTTTTTTCCCAAGTGTTTTTTTTTTTTTGCTCAAGTGATAAGCACAGCAAGACTTGNAGTTGGTGACTGGTTGTCTTTCATCTCAATCACGTGTACCACTGATCCAGCACTGACGTAGAACAGTCCATTGTGTKTRACTACATCATATGGGTTGTCTTCTCCTGGTATTGTAAACTGATATAGATAGTCACCATTCTTTGCGCACACTTGAACGCGATGATTGTCATGATCACACACAATGATGTTATAATYATCATCAACATGTACTCCACGTGGATATTTGAACTGTCCATTCATGTTGCCTTGACAACCAAATGTTCTAACAAGCCTACCAGAGGTTGTATCCACTATGCATATTCTATGATTATTACAATCAGCTATGACTAAATCTTTTTCTTCGAGAAATGATAAACCTTGTGGATGCTTAAACTGTCCTCGTCCACTGCCTTCACAACCATATGACAGCAACAAATCACCATCCATGTTGAACACTCACACACTTTCAGAAAAAAATGACACTCTTGAAATATATATATATATACCTAAAATGCTGGGTCACATACTGTCAAAAGTCCAGGTCTGTTTTGGCATTAAATTAATTTACATGCCACCTTTCTACCATCCACAGGTGTATAATATATTTCTCATTAAGAACCTGTGTTTAGGCTAAATTTGAAAAATGGGTTTTTATATTCGGGTAAGTACTGTACGACTTCATATGAAGACTCCTTTTGACATCTCAGCTTGACATCCAATCCCCTTTCATTTGCTGTCTTATTAGCAAAGACAGATGGWCATAATTTAAAGCAGWCAACGGATTTYKATATCAACATCTTAAGTGATGTAAAAATAATTTCATGATACATCATACCCGGTTAGATCATATTGACGTAGGGCGTAAAAAATATAGGAACTCATACAACGCTCACTATCATTCAAGCAGTTAAGAGACTTAAGATGAACAGTTCAAATTTCTCG